CTCTGTGTGGTGAGTCTATGGGTCTCTGTGTGGTGAGTCTGTGGGTCTCTGTGTAATGAGTTAGTGGATCTCTGTGTGGTGAGTCTGTGGGTCTCTGTGTGGCGAGTCTGTGGGTCTCTGTGTGGTGAGTCTGTGGGTCTCTGTGTGGTGGTGAGTCTGTGGGTCTCTGTGTGTGGTGGTGAGTCTATGGGTCTCTGTGTGTGGTGGTGAGTCTATGGGTCTCTCCCTGTGTGTGTGGTGAGTCTGTGGGCGTCTGTGTAGTGAGTCTGTGGGTCTCTCTGTGTGGTGTTGTATCTGTGGGGCTCTCTGTGTGATGGTGAGTCTATGGGTCTCTGTGTTTTGAGTCTATGACTCTCTGTGTGGTGAGTCTATGGGTCTCAGTGTGCTGAGTCTATGGGTCTCTGTGTGGTGAGTCTGTGGGTCTCCGTGTGGTGAGTCTATGGCTCTCTGTGTGGTGAGTCTATGGCTGTCTGTGTGGTGAGTCTATTGCTCTCTGTGTAGTGAGTCTATGGCTCTCTGTGTGGTGAGTCTATGGGTCTCTGTGTGATGATTCTATGGGTCTCTGTGTGATGAGTCTATGGCTCTCTGTGTGGTGAGTCAATGGGTCTCTGTGTGGTGAGTCTGTTGGACTCTGTGGGTGATGAGTCTATGGCTGTCTGTGTGGTGTCTATGGGTCTCTGTGTGTGATGAGTCTATGGGTCTCTGTGTGAGTGAGTCTATGGGTCTCTGCGTGATGAGTCTATGGCTCTCTGTGTGGTGAGTCTATGGCTCTCTGTGTGGTGTCTATGGGTCTCTGTGTGTGATGAGTCTATGGGTCTCTGTGTGAGTGAGTCTATGGCTCTCTGTGTGCTGAGTCTATGGCTCTCTGTGTGCTGAGTCTATGGGTCTCTGTGTGTTGAGTCTATGGGTCTCTGTGTGATGAGTCTATGGCTCTCTGTGTGGTGAGTCTATGGGTCTCTGTGTGATGAGTCTATGGGTCTCTGTGTGATGCGTTTATGGGTCTCTGTGTGATGAGTCTATGGCTCTCTGTGTGGTGAGTCTATGGGTCTCTGTGTGCTGAGTCTATGGGTCTCTATGTGTGGTGAGTCTATGGGTTTCTGTGTGATGAGTCTATGGGTCTCTATGTGGTGAGTCTATGGGTCTCTGTGTGATGAGTCTATGGGTCTCTGTGTGATGAGTCTATGGGTCTCTGTGTGATGCGTTTATGGGTCTCTGTGTGATGAGTCTATGGCTCTCTGTGTGGTGAGTCTATGGGTCTCTGTGTGCTGAGTCTATGGGTCTCTATGTGTGGTGAGTCTATGGGTTTCTGTGTGATGAGTCTATGGGTCTCTGTGTGGTGAGTCTATGGCTCTCTGTGTGGTGAGTCTATGGGTCTCTGTGTGATGAGTCTATGGCTCTCTGTGTGGTGTCTATGGGTCTCTGTGTGTGATGAGTCTATGGGTCTCTGTGTGAGTGAGTCTATGGGTCTCTGCGTGATAAGTCTATGGCTCTCTGTGTGGTGAGTCTATGGCTCTCTGTGTGGTGTCTATGGGTCTCTGTCTGTGATGAGTCTATGGGTCTCTGTGTGAGTGAGTCTATGGCTCTCTGTGTGCTGAGTCTATGGCTCTCTGTGTGATGAGTCTATGGCTCTCTGTGTGTGATGAGTCTATAGCTCTCTCTGTATGATGAGTCTATGGGTCTCTGTGTGTGATGAGTCTATGGGTCTCTGTGTGAGTAGTCTATGGCTCTCTGTGTGTGATGAGTCTATGGGTCTCTGTGTGATGAGTCTATGGGTCTCTGTGTGTGGTGAGTCTATGGCTCTCTATGTGTGATGAGTCTATGGTTCTCTGTGTTGAGTCTATGGCTCTCTGTGTGAGTAGTCTATGGCTCTCTGTGTGTGATGAGTCTATGGGTCTCTGTGTGTGATGAGTCTATGGCTCTGTGTGTGATGAGTCTATGGGTCTCTGTGTGAGTAGTCTATGGGTCTCTGTGTGGTGAGTCTATGGCTCTCTGTGTGTGATGAGTCTATGGTTCTCTGTGTGTAATGAGTCTATGCCTCTGTGTGTGATGAGTCTATGGGTCTCTGTGTGGTGAGTCTATGGCTCTCTGTGTGTGATGAGTCTATGGCTCTCTGTGTGGTGAGTCTATGGGTCTCTGTGTGATGAGTCAATGGGTCTCTGTGTGTGATGAGTCCATGGCTCTCTGTGTGTGATGAGTCTATGGCTCTCTGTGTAGAGCGGGGCTCTAGTGGAGGAGGTGGTCTCGTTCTTCCGGCAGTGCCGTTCTCAGGACATTGCAGGGAGGCGCCTTTACAATTCTCTAATCTGAATTGTCAACCACTCCCACATGTCCTACGGCCTCCGACGGCTAGCTCACAATCTGCACGCACAGATCTCTCTCATCGTGTCTCCACGCGGAGATCTCTCCGTCATCATCCCAGACACTGAGAGATCGTGGGTTCAATCGCAGACACTGAGAGATGTTGACTACCTCTCCTGGTACACAGGAGGTCGTGGGTTCAAGCCCTGACACTGAGAGATGTTGACTACCTCGCCTGGTACGCAGGAGCTCGTGGGTTCAATCCCAGACCCTGAGAGATGTTGACTACCACGCCTGGTACACAGGAGGGCGTGGGTTCAATCCCAGACACTGAGCGATGTTGACTAACTCGCCTGGTTGGCAGGAGGTCGTGAGTTCGATCCCAGACTCTGAGAGATGTTGACTACCTCGCCTGGTGCACAGGAGGTCGTGGGTTTAATCCCAGACACTGAGAGATGTTGACTACCTCGCCTGGTACGCAGGAGGTCTTGGATTCAATCCCATACACTGAGCGATGTTGACTACCTCGCCTGGTACACAGGAGGTCGTGGGTTCAATCCCAGACACTGAGAGATGTTGACTACCTCGCCTGGTGCACAGGAGGGCGTGGGTTCAATCCCAGACACTGAGAGATGTTGACTACCTCGCCTGATACGCAGGAGGTCGTGGGTTCAATCGAAGACACTGAGAGATGTTGACTACCTCGCCTGGTACGCAGGAGGTCGTGGGTTCAATCGAAGACACTGAGAGATGTTGTCTACCTCGCCTGCTACGCAGGAGGTCGTGGGTGCAATCCCAGACACTGAGAGATGTTGACTACCTCGCCTGGTACGCAGGAGGTCGTGGGTTATATCCCAGACACTGAGAGATGTTGACTACCTCGCCTGCTACGCAGGAGTTCGTGGGTTCAATCCCAGACCCTGAGAGATGTTGACTACCTCGCATGGTACGCAGGAGGTCGTGGGTTCAATCCCAGACACTGAGAGATGTTGACTACCTCGCCTGGTACGCAGGAGGTCGTGGGTTCGATCCCAGACACTGAGAGATGTTGACCACCTCGCCTGGTACACAGGAGGTCGTGGGTTCAATCCCAGACCCTGAGAGATGTTGACTACCTCCCCTGGTACACAGGAGGTCGTTGTTTCAATCCCAGACACTGAGAGATGTTGATTACCTCGCCTAGGGCGCAAGAGGTCGTGGGTTCAATCCCAGACACTGAGAGATGTTGACTACCTCGCCTGGTACGCAGGAGGTCGTGGGTTCGATCCCAGACACTGAGAGATGTTGACTACCTCGCCTGGTACACAGGAGGTCGTGGGTTCATGCCCAGACACTGAGAGATGTTGACTACCTCGCCTGGTACGCAGGAGGTCGCGGGTTCAATCGCAGTCACTGAGAGATGTTGACTACCTCGCCTGGTACGCAGGAGGTCGTGGGTTCAATCGAAGACACTGAGAGATGTTGTCTACCTCGCCTGGTATTCAGGAGGTCGCGGGTTCAATCGCAAACACTGAGAGATGTTGACTACCTCGCCTGGTGCACAGGAGGTCGCGGGTTCGATCCCAGACACTGAGAGATGTTGACTACCTCGCCTGGTACGCAGGAGGTCGTGGGTTAAATCCCAGACACTGAGAGATGTTGACTACCTCGCCTGGTACGCAGGAGGTCGTGGGTTCAATCCCAGACACTGAGAGATGTTGACTACCTCGCCTGGTACGCAGGAGGTCGTGGGTTCAATCCCAGACACTGAGAGATGTTGACTACCTCGCCTGGTACGCAGGAGGTGGTGGGTTCAATCGCAGACACTGAGAGATGTTGACTACCTCGCCTGGTACGCAGGAGGTCGTGGGTTCAATCGCAGACACTGAGAGATGTTGACTACCTCGCCTGGTACGCAGGAGGTGGTGGGTTCAATCCCAGACACTGAGAGATGTTGACTACCTCGATGATGATGATGATTGTAGCCTCTTAGACGAGCCGCTATCGTCCGTGATGTCCAGGTCGCGTCCGGAACACGAAGCAGCAACTTATTGGGGCGTTAATAACCCGGTGACGATAACAAGTTTCAATGTCACCCGTTGACATTCTTTGACTCTACCTTCCATTCTCTCCCCTCTCTCTCCTCCCTGTCCTCCCCTTCACCACCACCACCACCACTCCCTCCCCTTCACCACCACCACCACTCCCTCCCCTTCTCCACCACCACCACCACTCCCTCTCCTTCACCACCACCACCACCACTCCCTCTCCTCCCCTTCTCCACTACCACCACCACCACCACTCCCTCTCCTCCCCTTCTCCAACACCACCACCACCACTCCCTCCCCTTCACCACCACCACCACTCCCTCTCCTCCCCTTCTCCACCACCACCACCACCACTCCCTCCCTTCTCCTCCCCTTCTCCACCACCACCACCACTCCCTCCCCTTCACCACCACCACTCCCTCCCCTTCACCACCACCACTCCCCTTCACCACCACTCCCTCCCCTCCCTCCCCTCCCCTCCCTCCCCTCCCCTCCCACTACTAAAATCTGCAACAGGTTCGCTCATCGGACGCTCCATCCCCATCGCTTCCGAAACCTCTCCCGTGATCGATTCATTGTGGAGAGGGGCGGGGCTGAGTAGGTGTGGGGGGTTGGCCCAGAGAGGGGGGGAGGGGGGGGAGGGGTGCCCCACCCACCCCCCCTTTCTCAACCCCTCCCCCTGCCCAGAGGAGTAACCACAACCACCACCACCACTTTCCCAGTAGGCGTAGTTCCCTTCACATCAACCATCTCGAGTCAAGCAGAAGCTGATTCACTCCTCTCTTGCCTCACCCAGCGTTCGTCTCGTCACCGGAGCCGTCAACGCTACGCAGGTACAAATCGCGGCGAGCCAGTTGGGGGCCGGAGAGATGTTGACTACCTCGCCTGGTAGGCAGGAGGTTCGTGGGTTCAATCCCGTACACTGAGAGATGTTGACTACCTCGCCTGGTAGGCAGGAGGTCGTGGGTTCAATCCCAGACACTGAGAGATGTTGACTACCTCGCCTGGTAGGCAGGAGGTTCGTGGGTTCGATCTCTGACACTGAGAGATGTTGACTACCTCGCCTGGTAGGCAGGAGGTCGTGGGTTCGATCCCGGACACTGAGAGATGTTGACTACTTCACCTGGAACGCAGGAGATCGTGGGTTCGATCCCAGACACTGAGAGATGTTGACTACCTCGCCTGGTACACAGGAGGTCGTGGGTTCAATCACAGATACTGAGAGATGTTGATTACCTCGCCTGGTAGGCAGGAGATCGTGGGTTCGATCCCAGACACTGAGAGATGTTGACTACCTCGCCTGGTAGGCAGGAGGTTCGTGGGTTCGATCCCAGACACTGAGAGATGTTGACTACCTCGCCTGGTACACAGGAGGTCGTGGGTTCAATCCCAGACACTGAGAGATGTTGACTACCTCGCCTTGTTCGCAGGAGGTCGCGGGTTCGATCCCAGACACTGAGAGATGTTGATTACCTCGCCTGGTAGGCAGGAGATCGTGGGTTCGATCCCAGACACTGAGAGATGTTGACTACCTCGCCTGGTAGGCAGGAGGTTCGTGGGTTCGATCCCAGACACTGAGAGATGTTGACTACCTCGCCTGGTAGGCAGGAGGTCGTGGGTTCAATCCCAGACACTGAGAGATGTTGACTGCCTCGCCTGGTACGCAGGAGGTCGTGGGGTCAATCCCAGACACTGAGAGATGTTGACTACCTCGCCTGGTAGGCAGGAGGTCGTGGGTTCGATCCCGGACACTGAGAGATGTTGACTACTTCACCTGGAACGCAGGAGATCGTGGGTTCGATCCCAGACACTGAGAGATGTTGACTACCTCGCCTGGTACACAGGAGGTCGTGGGTTCAATCACAGATACTGAGAGATGTTGATTACCTCGCCTGGTAGGCAGGAGATCGTGGGTTCGATCCCAGACACTGAGAGATGTTGACTACCTCGCCTGGTAGGCAGGAGGTTCGTGGGTTCGATCCCAGACACTGAGAGATGTTGACTACCTCGCCTGGTACACAGGAGGTCGTGGGTTCAATCCCAGACACTGAGAGATGTTGACTACCTCGCCTTGTTCGCAGGAGGTCGCGGGTTCGATCCCAGACACTGAGAGATGTTGACTACCTCGCCAGGTACGCAGGAGGTCTTGGGTTCGATCCCTGACCCTGACGACGCCTTCTGCTGCTGCTGCTGTAGACTTGGAGTCTGCGTCTCTCTATCTTCGATGGCCACTGGGTGGATTTTTCTCTGGGATCCTTCGGGTTTCCCTCTAAGGGCCACTTAAAGGCTACACAGGGGGTTATTTATGTGGCTGTGTGTGTGTGTGTTGATAGGTGCTCGCTGATAGCACTTGCCCCTACAGTCCGTGATGGCTATACGGGGGATCTTTGTCTTTGTGTGGCTGTGTGTGTGTGTGTTGATAGGGCGTGGTGCTGGTTCACCCACCCCATCGTGTACTGTTCCAGCCTTCATAGGTGCCACTCGCTAACAGCACTTGCCCCTAACAGCCTGTGAAGGCTACACGGGGGATCTTTGTCTTTGTTGATAGGTGCTCGCTAACAGCACTTGCCCCTAACAGCCTGTAAAGGCTACACGGGGGATCTTTGTCTTTGTTGATAGGTGCTCGCTAACAGCACTTGCCCCTAACAGCCAGTGTAGGCTACACGGGGGATCTTTGTCTTTGTTGATAGGTGCTCGCTAACAGCACTTGCCCCTAGCAGCCTGTGAAGGCTACACGGGGGATCTTTGTCTTTGTTGATAGGTGCTCGCTAACAGCACTTGCCCCTAACAGCCAGTGTAGGCTACACGGGGGATCTTTGTCTTTGTTAATAGGTGCTCGCTAACAGCACTTGCCCCTAGCAGCCCGTGAAGGCTACACGGGGGATCTTTGTCTTTGTGGATAGGCGCTCGCTAGCAGCACTTGCCCCTAGCAGCCTGTGAAGGCTACACGGGGGATCTTTGTCTTTGTTGAGAGGCGCTCGCTAGCAGCACTTGCCCCTAACAGCCAGTGTAGGCTACACGGGGGATCTTTGTCTTTGTTGAGAGGCGCTCGCTAACAGCACTTGCCCCTAACAGCCCGTGAAGGCTACAGGGGGATCTTTGTCTTTGTTGAGAGGCGCTCGCTAAGAGCACTTGCCCCTAACAGCCAGTGAAGGCTACACGGGGGATCTTTGTCTTTGTTGATAGGCGCTCGCTAACAGCACTTGCCCCTAACAGCCCGTGAAGGCTACAGGGGGATCTTTGTCTTTGTTGAGAGGCGCTCGCTAAGAGCACTTGCCCCTAACAGCCAGTGAAGGCTACACGGGGGATCTTTGTCTTTGTTGATAGGCGCTCGCTAACAGCACTTGCCCCTAGCAGCCCGTGAAGGCTACACGGGGGATCTTTGTCTTTGTTGAGAGGCGCTCGCTAAGAGCACTTGCCCCTAACAGCCAGTGTAGGCTACACGGGGGATCTTTGTCTTTGTTGAGAGGGGCTCGCTAACAGCACTTGCCCCTAACAGCCCGTGAAGGCTACACGGGGGATCTTTGTCTTTGTGGATAGGCGCTCGCTAGCAGCACTTGCCCCTAACAGCCCGTGAAGGCTACACGGGGGATCTTTGTCTTTGTTGATAGGTGCTCGCTAACAGCACTTGCCTCTAGCAGCCCGTGAAGACTACACGGGGGATCTTTGTCTTTGTTGATAGGCGCTCGCTAACAGCACTTGCCCCTAACAGCCCGTGAAGGCTACACGGGGGATCTTTGTCTTTGTTGAGAGGCGCTCGCTAACAGCACTTGCCCCTAACAGCCAATGTAGGCTACACGGGGGATCTTTGTCTTTGTTGAGAGGCGCTCGCTAGCAGCACTTGCCCCTAGCAGCCTGTAAAGGCTACACGGGGGATCTTTGTCTTTGTTGAGAGGCGCTCGCTAACAGCACTTGCCCCTAACAGCCTGTGAAGGCTACACGGGGGATCTTTGTCTTTGTTGAGAGGCGCTCGCTAGCAGCACTTGCCCCTAACAGCCCGTGAAGGCTACAGGGGGATCTTTGTCTTTGTTGAGAGGCGCTCGCTAAGAGCACTTGCCCCTAACAGCCCGTGAAGGCTATACGGGGGATCTTTGTCTTTGTTGAGAGGCGCTCGCTAGCAGCACTTGCCCCTAACAGCCTGTGTAGGCTACACGGGGGATCTTTGTCTTTGTTGAGAGGCGCTCGCTAGCAGCACTTGCCCCTAGCAGCCCGTGAAGGCTACACGGGGGATCTTTGTCTTTGTTGAGAGGCGGCTCGCTAACAGCACTTGCCCCTAGCAGCCAGTGTAGGCTACACGGGGGATCTTTGTCTTTGTTGATAGGTGCTCGCTAACAGCACTTGCCCCTAGCAGCCCGTGAAGGCTACACGGGGGATCTTTGTCTTTGTTGAGAGGCGCTCGCTAGCAGCACTTGCCCCTAGCAGCCTGTGTAGGCTACACGGGGGATCTTTGTCTTTGTTGAGAGGGGCTCGCTAACAGCACTTGCCCCTAACAGCCAATGTAGGCTACACGGGGGATCTTTGTCTTTGTTGAGAGGCGCTCGCTAACAGCACTTGCCCCTAACAGCCCGTGAAGGCTACACGGGGGATCTTTGTCTTTGTTGATAGGTGCTCGCTAACAGCACTTGCCCCTAACAGCCTGTGAAGGCTACACGGGGGGTCTTTGTTGAGAGGCGCTCGCTAACAGCACTTGCCCCTAACAGCCCGTGAAGGCTACACGGGGGATCTTTGTCTTTGTTGAGAGGCGGCTCGCTAACAGCACTTGCCCCTAACAGCCCGTGAAGGCTACACGGGGGATCTTTGTCTTTGTTGAGAGGCGCTCGCTAAGAGCACTTGCCCCTAGCAGCCCGTGAAGGCTACACGGGGGATCTTTGTCTTTGTTGAGAGGCGGCTCGCTAACAGCACTTGCCCCTAACAGCCAGTGTAGGCTACACGGGGGATCTTTGTCTTTGTTGATAGGTGCTCGCTAACAGCACTTGCCCCTAGCAGCCCGTGAAGGCTACACGGGGGATCTTTGTCTTTGTTGAGAGGCGCTCGCTAACAGCACTTGCCCCTAGCAGCCTGTAAAGGCTACACGGGGGATCTTTGTCTTTGTTGAGAGGCGCTCGCTAACAGCACTTGCCCCTAGCAGCCCGTGAAGGCTACACGGGGGATCTTTGTCTTTGTTGAGAGGCGCTCGCTAGCAGCACTTGCCCCTAGCAGCCTGTAAAGGCTACACGGGGGATCTTTGTCTTTGTTGAGAGGCGCTCGCTAACAGCACTTGCCCCTAACAGCCTGTGAAGGCTACACGGGGGATCTTTGTCTTTGTTGAGAGGTGCTCGCTAGCAGCACTTGCCCCTAGCAGCCCGTGAAGGCTACACGGGGGATCTTTGTCTTTGTTGAGAGGCGGCTCGCTAACAGCACTTGCCCCTAGCAGCCAGTGTAGGCTACACGGGGGATCTTTGTCTTTGTTGATAGGTGCTCGCTAACAGCACTTGCCCCTAGCAGCCCGTGAAGGCTACACGGGGGATCTTTGTCTTTGTTGAGAGGCGCTCGCTAGCAGCACTTGCCCCTAGCAGCCTGTGTAGGCTACACGGGGGATCTTTGTCTTTGTTGAGAGGGGCTCGCTAACAGCACTTGCCCCTAACAGCCAATGTAGGCTACACGGGGGATCTTTGTCTTTGTTGAGAGGCGCTCGCTAACAGCACTTGCCCCTAACAGCCCGTGAAGGCTACACGGGGGATCTTTGTCTTTGTTGAGAGGCGCTCCCTAGCAGCACTTGCCCCTAGCAGCCTGTGAAGGCTACACGGGGGATCTTTGTCTTCGTGGATAGGCGCTCGCTAAGAGCACTTGCCCC